GCTCTAGTCATTGTCTTGTTATAAAATTAGAAAATTTATTACTTTGCCTAATATTTTTTACTAAATTGTGACAACTTTGTTTTAGGTGTCCACAAAAGATGTTATGCTCTAGTAGTTACGATGCTTTGAAGGAAGCTCTAGTTGGTGAAGAGGCCAGTCAAGAAGCAATTGAGGATCATTTCAGAAAAGGTAAATAGGACCGCTTGTGTATCAGCGATCTTTATGGTACCGGAGGAGCGACTTATGAAGTGTCTTCTCGGCACTTTGAAACGATCCCTCTTCCATTGCTTCTGTTTATTTTTTTTCAAAAAAAGATGCCAGACTGGGATGCTCAGTGTAAACATCTTAAAATTACAGAAATATCTGGGAAGTGCTCGTAGAGCATCTTTATATTTGCTTTTTATGCTGATTAATATTTACATGTGAAACATGTAGAGAAGTTCCTTTTTTTATATACCTATATATCATTTTCTTAATTGTAATTGGCAGTCATAAGGAAATCGCATGATTCTACAACTGTTTGAAAACTTAAGTTATTAAATATTTTTGAGATTGCCATTCATAGTTTCAACTTATTTTTAGTTTCTTTGATTATACAATTGATGGTTTCTACATCAGTGATTTATAAATCAATTTTAGTTATGGAATATTTTTTTTTTTAAAATTTCTATCTATGTATATTTTTTTTCTTTGTTTTATACATTTTTTTCATAAAAATTTCTATATTTCGTAATATATTTCTTCTAACTATTTTTTACTGAATTTCGAGACCCTGCCCCTCGCTCCCACCGATTCACTGTCATCATTCTTTTTCTTTGCTTAAAAGTCAGTATATATTATGACTTTTCATTATCAAAGGAAAAAAGATCATCTTTGTTTATAAAATATGTACTTATTGCAATGATATGCTTTAATATAATGATATCACAATCGTAACAATTAGCTGCTTTTGAAAATTTCAACTGTACTAGAAAAAAAATATTTAATCTTAATAATACTAAATGTGCAACACAATCAAAGGAAAATATAAGCAATTTTACTTATTAACAATGTGTAATGATAACCTTCAGTTTACAGACTTTAGTTCAAATTGAAAAAGATTTGTATGTCTCTTGAAATATCTAATATTTTTAAAAAATTTAATATAAATGTTAAGATTTATTTTTGGCAACATCTAACCTTAGTTTTTTTATTTATTCGATTTTTTTTTGTTTATGATATCAAGCACGGTGCAAGCTATAAATTTAAGATCTTGAGAGAGATAAATATATTTTTTACAATAATGAATAAATAATTATTAATAAAAAATAAAAAATAAAGAAAAAAAATCCAAAAAAATATATATTTTAAAAAAAATATCCATTTATTTCAAAATTAAATATGTTACTTTTATGATAAAGACACTTTACAAATAACTTAAAAATAAAACGAGTCTCAAGGAAATGTGAGTTTAGATTTATTAAGATTCACTCTAAAACTAATGAAGTCTTTTATTTAGTCAATTTTAAACAATATTAAGCGTAAAAATCCATCTATTATAAGTTTAGTTCAAATTTAAGGTACAATAATATCTTAAATAAAAATTTTACTTTTTGTTCAATTAACTCTAAATCTTAATTTATCGTAATTTTTAGGCAACTTAATAGCATAAATTTGTTTTAAATGATTTATTTTTGTCTTCTTAATTAGATAATGAATTTCGAACTCGTTTACCTCCATTTTTGATCTGTTGGAGCAATATCGTATAAAATTCACTTCACCAAACCTTGGCTAAGCACCTAGTCCTGTTTTTCAGGTCTTCATCGTTTATTAAGCGTGATAGGAATGCTATTTTATGGCCGTGATCAGATAACGTGGACAACGCCTTAGCTGGTATCCTTCTCTCTAAACTTTCGCATCACACTTTTAGCCGCAATAGATTTAGCGTGAACTTTACTGTGTATTTACATTGGTTGTTTAGGCGGCTTCTAAAATTGAATTTATGACCCGTAAGCGAAGTGAGCAGCCAACGGCGCTACCACTACAGTCTTCATTTTAATATACGAACAGAGCCGCGATGGTTGGTCCATAAGAATTCCGCATCCGGCTTTCACCGACCACAGTGCTGAAGGTAAATATTCTCAGTGGTAGAGGGATCATGGATTAGAGTCCCTTTGCTGTCAGGCTAACCGTGGGAGGTTCTCGTGGTCTTCCTCACCATGTAACGCAAATGTGGGTTAGTTCCATGAAAAAGTCCTCCACGAAGGCAAATTTCTCCCGATCCAGGAGTTCCCTTGTCTTCTGGATTGGGTTCAAAATTAAGAATCGTAATTATTAGAAGTCTTAAACCAAAAATTTTATCAGCCATTCAACGACGATTATGAAATAAAATATGCTAACAACATAAAATTTGCATTAAAAAGTTTATGGAGTCACATTAACTTAACTGTGTGTAATTAGTAAATTATGTGTATATTATTTTAATATTTATTTTGCTTCCTTTGATCTTTTTTGTTACATCGCTGACTATTCACAGCTTTCAATTTCATTTTTTCTAAAGGATTTGATTAAACAGCCTGTTCTATTTTAGATTTTTTATGTTAATGTGATAGATACACAATTTACTGCTTTTTTTAAGCTTTCTTCAATATTTTTTAAGTGTTTTTAAGATTTTGTATAAAAGTTTTAGTTTTAAAATTTCACAAAAAATATGGAGATTTCTTGGTATTTTTTTGTTAGAGTCAATAGATGGATATTTAGGTATCAAAGAAAAATAAGTGAAATTTAATTTTCCCAACATTAAATATTTTAGTCATCTGTGCAATCAAAATATTTATTTGTTACTTAATGAAAAGAGAAACCAAAAATCATGTATAAAGTAGATAAATAAAACAATTCTAAAAGAAAAATGGGAAATGCAGCAGAAACTCCATAAGAAAAGTGAAACCAATAGAAAATTTGTAAAGTACAAAACAATGAAAATGACATTTTTATACTTTTCATTAATTTGATAATTGTCATTGTTTTCTTCTTTGTAATTTTCTATTGGTTTCATTTTTCATTATTTTATCTTTAAAATTTTCTATTGGTTTCTTATTCCCTTTTGATCTTAATCTAATTTTGTCAATTTAGATGTGAGAAAAAAAGTATGACATATAATACTATCTTTCCTTAAAAGATTATTCATTCTACTTTTTATGTTATAAACATATAGCTAATTGTGATTTTACTTCTTTGAAGCTTCTTTAATCGACTTAAATTATAATGTTAGAAATTACGGTATTTTCTAGTTATATTGCATTTTTTAGATATCCTGTCTTTTAGGTGATGATAATATGTAATGGTTTATAATTGTTTGAAAATGTTAATGATTATTAATTTTCTTCCAGGTCAAAGCAATGACTTATTATTCCACGACTAGTGCATCATTTGTGCCATTTAGACTGCTTTCGATTGTTGAAGATGTGGATAAAAACAGGTGACTTTCTTTTTTCGTAACTGCTGAGTATTATTAAATTTGTTATTTAAAAGAATTTTTTTTTTTTGAAATATCAGTTTTTAGAATAATTTTAATTTAAAATTCGGTTTGTAATAACATTGCTTTTTTTTTCTAACAATTAAGATCTAAATTTATTATTTATTTTTAATCCAAAGAAAAAAGAACATTCATTTTATAACTATTTTAGTTTATACAAATTAAATTTTTATTAACTTGTATTAACTATTATTTTTTATAACCTTGAAAGCAAACTTTAGCCTATTTTAGAGCTTAGCAAATATGCCAATTTTAGCATAATTTACAATGCATGTCAATTTTTTTTTATAATTTATATTAAGGGTTAATATTATGGATGTAAGAATAGTCTAGTAACTGATGTTTGATATTTTTCTTAATATAACTATGCAGAATACAAATTGATTTTATGATCTTTTAATTCTTTTTCATATCATTCTGTAACTTCAACTAAATTACAATACAATGCAATGCAAAAAAATAGTTGTTTTTTTTTATAAAATTAAATAAAGTAAAATAAGGATTTTTTTTAAAGAAATATTAATAAAAATAGCTGTATTTTTTATTAATGTATTTTACTTGCAATAGGTAGGATAAATAATTTATTATTGATAATTCTTCTATTAAGTGATTTATATGTATAAAAAATTACAGCCTGGTTTCCAAAGTGCCTGGTTCACAGATCCAACTAAATATTTAAAATATCCAAGTCGGATCTCATAAAATTCAAGATCAAATATTCCTTAAAACAGTTATATAACATCCAAAATTGACTTCTATATACACCACTAACTTCGCAGTTAACTCACTGAGTAAAATATTATTCATTTTATTAAAAAAAATTAAATTAGTAGGAACAAGCAAAATACAATTATATTTTGCCGAAGCTAACTGATGCTGTTTATTTTTTAATGAAACATTATAGGAATTTTGTATATATTGATGTTAATCTATTAGGAATTGTTTAGTGTTCTATAAATTAAATTGTGCTAAAAACTTTACAGACTTACATTCTAAATAAAACAACTAGGAAATGAAAAATAGTATATAGTTAGTATATTGTAGAATACTATACGGACTACAATTTCTAGATTGCGGCTAGCCCCCAGATTTTAAGAATAAAAAATCCATATGTGTAAAAAAAAATCCATGTTTATTTCGGGAAAGTACGTTTTTGTGTTTGGTTTCGTAACTTAATCAATAGTTAGTGCTACTTAATTAGCGAAGTTGAAGTCACCCAATAAGATTGGAACTCTTAATGGAAAACCAATGAGATTGATACTTAGTTCGTAAAAATCCGATCATTAGAGCGAAAGTTATTCAGGTTGTACTTTTGCACATGGTACATATATCTGCTTAAGTTGTTCATATGTAGAGGTGTACAAATTTATTACTACATTTTTAGTGTACCATAGAGTGTTTAAAATATATTTTCCGTTCGTAATTTATTGTCAGACTCCCGGTGGCTGAATGGTAACGCTTCAGCTCTTGTACCACAGGTCCTGGGTTCGATTCTCGGGCCGAGCAAGGTCGACTCAGCCTTCCATACCTTCAGTGGGTCAATAAAATGAGTACTAAGCACTGGGGGTTCCGCATTCGGCTGACCTCCTAACCGGACCATCTGCTCATGCATCCCAGAGCCCAAGGTCAGGAAAACTGAGATGGGCACATTAGGTTTTAGCCCTCTATTGGCTGTCGAGGCACTGAGTTTAGTTTTTAATTTATTGTCAGTCCCACAAACCTCAAAAAGTTTAAGCTTCATTTATATGTGCGAGAGATCTCACGATCAAATCACTACTAAATTTATAATCTGATTCTTAATATTTTTTTTAACAATATCAAAAAATAAGCTAGCATCAAAGTGTTTCCATTATTTGGTCCAACCCTTGTATATAAAGTATTAATACAAAACTTTTGCTGCTATGAAGAAAGAAAAATATTTTCTAAAAATACAGAAATTTCCTAGCAACTGGAGGATATGTTTATAATGTACAAAAAAAATGTGAAGGCCCTCCTGTTTCAATGCTTGTTCAGTTGTAAAAAAAAATAACTTTTGAAAAATTGCAATTTAATGAATACATCAATATCATATACATCAATGACATCAATATAATTCAAAAAACATAAATGACATTTCTGAATTTTCCTATCTGAACTTTCATATTGAATTCATATTTGAAAGGCAAAACCATGATAGTTCCCAGCTTATTTTTAGCATTAAATTTAAATAAAAATTTGTAAATACTTAATTATTGAAATATTTTGCAATGAAAAATAATAGTTGGAATAAAGTAAATGTTTTTTTAAAGTAATGTGTTTAATATTGCAACAAAGTGCTTGCTCATTTCTAGGTTTTAGAAGAAGTCCGAAGAGTTCTTATTATTTGTATGATTGTGAGGCAACAGCCTCGACAGTGGTCTATCAGTGCCAAAAACTCCTTGATTCCGGACAGCAGGCATCTGTGACTTCAAAAATCTTTTGGTACATTTTCTTAACTCTCAGATATTTTGATGAAAATCATAAAAGTATCGTAATATTCAGCATTTTAAAACTCTGAAGTTCTCATAATTATTAGTGTAAAAAGTTATATTGAGTTACATTGAAAAATTATCTTTTAGATAAATTGATTCGATATTAAAGCTAATTAAGTGAAATATTATATTGAAGATTAGTGGTTGGGAAAACTACATTATTTTTGTAGTTTATTACAATTACAACTAATTTGTAACAAATGTAGTTAACTGCAACTGTAACTACAATTACTTTTTTTTAAATGTAATGACTTCAAACTACTTTGAAATTATAGTAACTACTTCCACTTTAAGAGGACGCCATACCGCGCGGAAGATAAGCTTCATCAAAAATTCTCTTTCTCCTTCATTACTAATTTAAAGTGCAGAGAAAGTGAGTTCAGATAAACCTTAATTAAGTTACGAAGTTTCACTTGCTGAAAAAAATACTTCAAAGTATTAAAATGCAAACGAATTATTCGAAGAGCGTAATTCACCGTTGCGTAATCCTAAGTTGTCGTCTCATCATTAATTTTCATTTGTATATTTTAAAATTTTCATTTCAGTATTTGAAACTTCATGGCTTTCTCTACGTTTGTCTGAACTCACTTTTTCTGCACTTTAAATTTCGAACTAGTAATGAAGCAGAAGGAGAATTTGCAAGGAAAATTTTCTTCCTCCGTATGGCGTCCTCTTGAGGAGACGAATCTTGCTGGAGAACTCAATTTACACCTATGCTCAAAATGGTTTTGAATAACAAATTGGCTTACATTAAATATAAGGGAATAATTAAGAGATATTTGTGTTTACAAGAGTGAGTTTGTTTTTCGTAAATATTTTTTTTTACAATTTATTCATTTAACCTTTATACCTATACCTTTTTATACCTATTTCGGTATTAATATTTAAGAAATTCGAAATTATCAAATAATTGCATCTTTTCAATTGTCTAATGCTCTTTTATTTCCTCTTAGAAATTAAGTACATCGAAAATACGTTCCGTCTCTTTGAAATAACATCAGTGTTTCACACGTGTGTATTCCTATGTGAAACTGTGACCAAAGTGATTGATTATAAATACGTATATTACGTGATTTTAAATACGTAATATCTATTAAAGCTCAGCTGCAGCGACAGGGACATTTTCATGGCATCCACTGACTGACCCGCGAAGATCTGCATCTATCAAATTCAAAAAATAAAATCCGTTAGAACCGTCATTCTTTTCTCAACTGACGATAAAAAATAGTTGCCAGGAATTGCTACAAACTATGTACTGCTTTTTTGTATCTCCATACACTCCCTTTTTTTTAAAAAGAAGAGTAGCACACTACAAACTTCGAAAAAAGTAGCGATTGCAGTAGTTTCACTACTTGTAACGTGCTACTTCTAACTACTGTTTAAGATAATTCTTTTATCTAAAACATAAATATAATCTCTTATTAATATTTTTAAATTGTGTGAATAGTTTATTATTATTGGCATTTTTTTACACTTTCTGAGACCAAATTAATATTTTTTTAAATAATTAATTAATATAAATATTTGTATACCATAGCTTCAAAAAAACTTAACCAAATTTTTTCCTGGTTTTTGTTTATTTTAGAAGAAAGCTATCTTAAATTGTTGTATCAGTCATTATGGACGTATTTACTCAGCCCATTATTTATTTGGGAATTTAAATATTTATAAATATTAGGTGAATACCATTTACATCAATGTTTTAATAAATTAATTCTTGTTAGCAGTTAGGTTTAGTGTTGAAGGGTAATTTATTTATCACAGCTGTTTGCTGAATTGTTAAATTTAAAATGTATGTTTCGTTTAAATTGTTTGTTTGATACATTTTGAATTAGCATATATTTTATTGATAAATAAAGTCAAATCTTGATATCACAAACTCGAATAGTGACATGAAAAATTCCTTAATATTGAGAATCAAGAACCAAATATTTTTAAAATGTTAATCAAACTAATAACTTTACGAACATTTTGAAAGTTGTATCCCATACATTTGCTTCAAAAAGCCTTTACTTGAAACAGGGTCAATATCTTTGGTTCTTCATTTGATTTTATGCTTTGCTGAAATGTTTCTGTTCTTCAAGAAAAGTCTTTAGCTTCAAGTAAGTGTTTTGAATTCCTCAGAAATTTAAGAAATTTTATTTTTATTATATTATCATAATAGCAAATGATAGTGTTCCCCCTAAGAGTTTTTAGATGAGTAGCCTTCCCTACCTGCTGTTATTTAAAGGTGCATGCACTCTCCTTACCCCTTATGTTGTCCACCTTTCATTTAGAAAAAATTGCTCTTTCCTATTCTAAGACAAAAAAAAGCAATTAGCAGAAATGTGGAACTTCAGATTACCATTACTAGTGGGAATTATATTTAGGCTAAGGCAATATAAAATATTATTTTTCATATTTGTTTTATTATTTTTAGTTTTGTTTTAAAGGGCACATGTCTAGCAAAATATAATTCATATATTTGGCAGGATTAGAGCCCGTCAAAACTGGAGGTGCCTGTGATTTTGAAAAAGCACCCTGCAAATACATAAGGAATTCAGAATTTATTAAAAAAAATTCATATCTTTGAGTTAATTCTGCATTATTATTTTATATGTGTGCTGACAAATTTTAAAAATTAATGAAAACATTAGTATAGTATGCATCTTTATTGTTAGTGGGTAAAAAAAAAGGATTAAATTTTCCTTAAATGTTAGACAGTTTAACAAATATTTAAAATTTAGAATTACTAAATTTTTATTTCATTGCTTAATATAATAGCGACAACTTGAAATTTGACTTATTCATTCAGCATTTGCGGTATTTCATATCTGCCAAGTCATCTGTTTTTAACGAACACTCCTGTATTTTATGATCATATCCTGTTTACCTGTATATTCTCAAAATTCTACGCATTTGTTCAAGAAATTAACAAAAAATTGGTGATAAAATATTCAGTTTCTCAGATTATTCAGAATTATTCGTATTCCTCAACAGAAGGTGCTATTGCCAGTACTGATGTTGAGTGTTAATATCTTAAGTCGAACCATGATGGCTCGGGGGATAGTATGTTTGCCTTCTAATGAAGTGAACCCAGGTTCCGCATCCGGCTTGCACCGACCACAGTGCTGACGTTAAATATCCCCAATGGTAGACGTATCACGGGTTAGAGTCCCCTTGTCGTCAGGCTAAGTGAGGGAGGTTTTCCGCTCTATCTAACTCAAATGCGGATTAGTTCCATCAAAATATCAAATTTCTTCCAATACTTGATCCAGGAGTTCCCTCGTTTTCTGAATGGGGTTCAAAATTACATGGCTGGAGTTGAACATCAGTAATCGCAAACCCAAAATTGGGTCGGTTAGTAAAATCTCCATTATTTTTATTTCTCCAATGTTGGCATGTAAGCTATTTAAATAACCTGTATTTTAAAAATAGCTAAATAAAAAAAAAATTTTTAAAAAAAGCACTTACAAATTTATCAGGGTGGCCACCCACCTGGAAAACCTTGAAAACCTGGAATTATCAGGGAATTTTTTTTATGCTGGAAAAAGCCTGAAAATATCGGGGAAATTTGGATTAAAGCCTGGACAAAATCGAGGAATTTTAAAGAAAGGCTGGTATTGTTTTCTTTGATAATTTTTTTAATTTCACTAATTTAAATTATTTACTAATTTTCTTAATTTAAATTATTTCATCCATTATACCCATTTTTTTTAAATAGAAATGTATCGCCAAACAGTTGAAATATCATCAACTTAGCGATACTTTCCTTGCATCAAAATTTGCTCCATTACGGCTCTGTTAAACTAGAATGTCATAAAATTCTCCCACGGTTGCTAAACGAATGTAGAAATCTTTGACGGCTATGGGACTGTGCAATTTAGGAAAGATTCTGGTGGAAAAAGGGATTAGGACATTAGCTTCTGTTTTTAAATTCTTTCATGGACTGAATCCATTTGTGGCTCAAGTTTGTTCCGATGCTTTCGTGATAATTTTTTTTTCCATTTTGACAAAATGTTTTTGTATTTTTAACTTTATAAAATTCTCCAAAAATTAGTTGGTTATAATTTAATAATAAAAGATTTTATGTCGCACTCTTTTTCAGAAGGCTTTTCTACTCACATTCAAGGAAATCTGTGAATTATTTTTTCTCAGCAAACCAACCAATCACACATTTTTTTACAATCGCTAACAGCAATGTTTGTTGACAAATCATTACAATTGTTGCATTAATGCTAATTTTTTCTATTTCGTTTTAACATTTTATAACATATTCTAACTTTAAAAAAAAGGTTTTTTTAAGAGCCAACTATATATTAATATTTAATTTTATTCTTATGTTTGTCAATATATGATTTTTGATTCAAAATTTTGTACCAAAACATTAAAAAATAAATAAAAAATCTTGCCAAATTGTCAAAATAAATTATTTTTTTCAAGATGATATGTTAAAAAAATAGCATTTTGAATAAAATATTTTATAATATAGACACTTTTCTTGTACACATCCTATACTTTATAAGAAAAAAGAAACAAAAACCTGGAAATTTTAAGATTTTTATCTGGAAAACCTGGAAAAATCAGGGAAATTTGAAATCTGAGTTGAGTGGCCACCCTGCTTATGTGGGATTCATTGTAAATGCAATGTATTATTTATTTGAAAGAAATTTAATTTGCATGCTCTTGAATGTGTAGTAAAATCTAACATAATCTTTTTAGAGACCAATGTTCCAAACATTTGTCACGTAACAAGATTTACAACAAGACACCTCCGGATTCAGCAATTGATGATGGACAACAAATCCATTCACCAAATGGGTCGTCACCTCAAATAGAAGACTATTCTGATACTTTGAGGCAAATACAGAGAGCCTCTAATCATCGTAATGGAGAGGTTGGATATTTTTATTTACCTTTTGATGGATATATTATGCTCACTAAGTAATTTTTCTTTCACTACTAATATGTTCTATTTCTTTTCTTTTTTTTGTAGTTTTTGTTCAAATTTGTTCTTAAAATTCATATTTGACTTTTGGTTTATTGGGTGTACAAATAGTTTGTGCCGTTTTCTATCAAAAATCAGCTGTTGAATTAGCAGTTTATTCTGAAAAAAAAACAGGTACATTATCTTTTATTCAAAGTATTCTTCATTACTAGACACTACTCTTTTCCATCTTTCTGAGAGCATTCGGATACCACGTCGGAAGAACTCTTCATCTTTTGAGGATATCCACGAATAAATCCGCTCCTTGGTTTCTTCAAATGATGTAAACTTCTGCTCAAAAAGACCGCCTACCATCGACTGGAATAAGTGATAATATAAAGGGCAATGTCTGGCGAATACGGTGGGTGGGGTGGGTCTTCCCATTGAAGTGTTTCCAAACAGCAAAGTCAATTTTCATGCAATATCGACGTTCATCGTCTCTTGGCTTCAGTTTCAATAGAACTTAACTTCCTTGTTTTTGGATCATTCCCAACGATTTTAAACGATGTGAAATTGCTTGCTGAGTCACTTGTAATGCAAGAGCAAGTTCTTTTTGCGTTTGGGACAAATCTTCTTCCAATAATTCTTCCCAGGCCCTGTGTTCGTTCAATTTCGGTATTCTGCTGTGTTATTTGTCTTCATCAAACTCACCGTTTTTAAACTTCTGAAACCACTTACGATAACTTCTCGCACTTAAAGCAGCCTCACCCTATGCTTCTCTAAGCTATAATGCTATAATTTTTCGCAGTATTAAAAATGTTCAAAAAAGATATCAACATTACTGTCTCTATAATCATTTAATAAATAATTAAAAAATGTGCATTAGAATTTCTTTTCATTTTGCATAAGTTATTTTTAATTCTTTAGCTTTAGTGAAACAAAAATGTCTAGTTTAAAGCTATTTGCTGAAATTATGTTGCTAAATTAAGGTATAAGCACATAGATTCTTGAAAGTGTTGATTCGTTTTTGGGGATGCTTAGCCTGAGATTTTTTTCACCTGTTTCAATAAACAATTTTTCCTTAGAAATGTATAATGCATTAATTTTACGATTTTAGAATTCTTCTTTGCAAGCTCTGACAAGCAGATTTGCAGAAATTAGAAGAAAAATTAACAGTTACCATATTTTGAAAATACTATATAGCAGGAAAAGGAATTTAAAATTATAAATTTAAAAATACAAATTTCTACATGGAGAAATTCCTATTTACTCAAAGAATAATATTGAGAATATGTATGAGTCTTAATGTATGTTTTAATATTTAACATATAGCGAAGAAGAAGAAAGAAAAAAGAACTGCATTATTAAATATTTACTTAAAGAAAGTCCTTCAACTCTAGCTAAGGAAATAAAAAGAGGCAAAATTAGATTACATTACCTGATTTTTTGAACATTAGCATTAGCACAAAGATTGTAAACGATGATAGAATTATTTTAATGTACTAGATTTAAGAAAACACTGATTTGTTTTTATGCTATGCCGAGTAATAAAATCATCCACCCTATATCTAAATGTGTACTACTTCTATCCAAATTGTGACTGATTTTAATTAAGCTTTAGGGCTGCAATGGAACATTACTTTATTTTTTAAAAAAACTTAAATAAAATAATATTAGTGCTCTGTCCAGGACAAATTTGCTACCATTTTGCTGTACCTTCACAAATTCAACTTAAGGAAAAACAGTAATTTCACAAAATACTGTTTAAAAAACAAGTTCCAAGATTCTCTACCCTCGTCTTCTTAAAATTTTGTTGTTATATTCCCGTAAAAACGATAAACCCTGGGTTAGTTACTCATTTCGATTTGAAATGGAACTTTTCTAACTTATGAACTATTATTTTGAACATTATTTTAAATTTATTCTAATTAATTCTTTATTTTTTTATGAAAGATTTTTTTTTTCTCTGTGAAACTTTTTTCTGCATGACCCAGTCGAAAATGTTCTCATAAAATGAAGATAACGTTTAGTGCTAGTACTGTTAAATGTATGTGTTTATAAAATTCAAATTGAAACTTGTGTATGGATAATGATTTTTATGGATTTTTAAATTAGGATACAATTTAAAGTCCAAAATTTTACAATAGCAAAATTTATTTTGAACGGATGAGAAAAATTTATATAGAAATTTACCAGCCATAAATGATTTTTATTTGTAGTATCAATTTTTGAAAATAATTTCTTATTTCACCATATTTTTGTGTGGGCTTTTTAATATACTTTTTGATTTTCACAAATTATGTCTACATTTTCGCAAAATAGCTCTTTAAAAAGCTTAGACAGACCCCTGAATATTTTCTGTGAATTTTAACACCACTGATTTCACCCAAGAAGAAAAGTTGATTCTCTGTGAAGATATGCATAACCATTTCTTTAGTTGTTTTAGTGATAAATGTACAGTTAGAAGTTTTAAAATCTTTCTTCTGTTTTGGACACCGTAAATTCATTTCACAAAATTTAACTAATAATATACAAAGCTGACTGTTCATACAAGTGATATCAATGAATTCATCAATATTCAATATATCAATTCTATAAGAGCATTGAAATAGCCTTAGCGGATGGATGAGGTATGTTTCCATTCAGCACATGCGACGTCATAACCAATCAGAAATAGTTTTTGATTGCATCCACTACGGTGGCCTTTGTGGGCAATTTAAACGTTTAATAATTAAATAAATAAAAATTTAAGGAAAAAAACCATTAGACTTTTTTGTTCAGGAGAGTAAGCTAGGATTGAAAATAAAGAAAAGAGATGTTGTAATTGTCCATTATTTATTTATTCAAACTAGGATTTTTACATAAAAAATTGTTATATTGGTCTGTATGACTTCTATAACATCTTCTATACCTTCCAAAAATTAAATGATATTTTCTATTTGTATAAATGTTAAATATTTTTAAAATGTCTGCTAGGCTTGTTCTGCTTTGGAGATCAGATAACCACCAGGGAAACTCAAGCACAGTCCTTCAGTCGATTTCTCTTTCAATCTTCGAAATATTTCTTATATTCAAACGGTAAAAGAATTATACTTATTGAGGTGAGACTTCTTCATTTAATTATCCAACAAGGACATTTTTAGGAGTGGGAACTAAGATCATATTTTTTTTAAAAAAATTAAATTTCTGTGTTATTTTAAAAAAAAAATTGAAAATCTCATTCCTGCATTGAGACCTTTTTTTTTAACAAGGAAATTCATTTTTCTATGGATTGTTGACTTTTCTTTAAAGATACTTGATAGTGATCTTGTGTACAGTCCGCAAAAAAAAAAGATATCACCCTGAATAACTTTCGTTCTAATGATCGGATTTTCACGAACTAAGTGTCAATCTTAATGGTTCCGGGGGGTGACCTCAAGTATGCTAATTAATTAGTGCTAATCATTATTTAAGTTACGAAATCAGACACAAAAACGTACTTTCTCTGAATAAACATGTATTTTTTTTTACAAATTTGGAATCCAGACACTTGAATTAGACAAAATTTTAAAAAAATTGGGTCACAATAAAGGTTTATATATTTGGCGATAGTTCAGAAAACCGCCAGAAAAAGTCGCCAACGCAAATTAATATTTTAAGGTAACCCAATAACTAATTCAAAAGAAGAACTTAATTTCACTAGGTTGCTAAGCAACCAATTTCTGACTGTAAAAAAAATTAAATTTAAATTATGCTCTGTGATTGCTCAGAGAGGTTTAATAGAAATATCTCAAAGCCAATAGAAAATATCTCAAAGTTTCTAGGATATAGACAATTTTTAAGCTAATTTCTGTCCAAAAAGCAAAATTTTTTTTATTTTAATCTCCTTTGAAAAGAAAATTTGAATCGATTTATAAATTATTTATGATTTTCTAAGCTCTTAGAATTTAAATACATAAATTTTTAGCTGATATTATTTAGATTATGTTGTTTTTGTTATAAAAATTCGAGGATTTCATACTAAAATCAAATTAATATAACTTATTATGGCTATATACAGAATTTTAGGGATAATCATTTTTACAGCTTTAATCGAGTGTTCTAGGCAAGAAAGTTTGAGGAAAAGAAAGAGCTTGAAAAATAAAATGTATATTGTATAGTAATTCTCATGTGCATTCACAAGGTTTTCTATAATTTACAATATTTCTTTTTTCTATAACTCAAGGAATTGCTGAATGTTTAGTGTTATTTTAAAAACGCTGAAATATGTTATGTTTAAGAATAAGATATTGAAATACTAATATGTTGCATATTGTAAGATTCATTGTTTAAAAAATCGCTTCATTTTGCTAGATATTTAGGTTACAAGGCTTTCTTTGGATAAAGATGATTAGCAAATACCATCCTCATCTTTCGATACATTCTGAAACTTACATACGCAAATTCATCATAAAATGTCGCACAGCATATTCTTCAAGTACGATTACAGCTACATTTACCACCAAATACTGCTACTATGATTATTTTTGTTTTCTTATATATGTTACCGGCAAAGTATGAAACGCCGGTTTTGAATAGAATGTCTCGACATTCTATACAATGCCGGATGTTTTTAGGCAAAGTATGAAATATGAGAGGTATTACATACTTTCCCTAGGCATTCTACAGAATGACAAATGTTATTTAGGCAAAATATGAAGAAAAAAAACATGCTGATGAGGTCATTATGTTATATTAATGATGTGCATGTTACTGTGAATGATCGAAATCGGTGGTTGTTGACTCTCACCGGTGAATGTTGACAATCACATAGTCGCTTTGGTGAATGTCCGAAATATTTATTACATCCGATTTGATATTACTTTATTCGCGGATATAATTACATTTATTCGATATTTTAATACTTACTGACGGTAGATTAGAAGAAACATCAGTCTTTGGAGTATCAGGCTAATATATATCGGGCAATGGCACTGAACCTTAAAAAATTATACCGGGCAAATGTATACCGGGCAGTGGCACTTGACCTTAAAAAAGCATCCGTGTCTGGTATACCAGGCAAATGTATACCAGGCAGTGACACTTGACCTTAAAAAAACATCAGAGTCTGGTATACCAGGCAAATGTATACCGGGCAGTGGCAATTAACTAGAACTAGTATGACTAGACCTTTGGTAAATGTCCGAAATATATACTAGGTCTAGTTAAGTGCCACAGCCTGGTATACATTTGCCCGGTATATCCTACACTGATGTTTTTTAAGATCAAGTGCCACTCCCTGGTATACATTTGCCCGGTATATCCTACACTGATGTTTTTTTAAGGTCAAGTGCCACTGCCTGGTATGCATTTGCCCGGTATACCCTACAATGATGTTTCTTCTAATCTATCGTCAGTAAGTATTAAAATATTGAATAAATGTAATTATATCAGCGAATAAATTAATATCAAATCGGTGGTAAAAAATATTTCAGACAATCACCAAAGCAACTAAGTGGTTGTTGACATTCACCGGTGAAAGTCGAAATTTTCCAGATTTTGGTCATTCACGGACAGGTGATCACAGACAGGTAACATTCGGTCATTCACAGACAGGTGATACTAAAAAATTACTTTTAAGATTAAGACGATATATAAGATGTTGAGAAATTTGCAATGATGTGAGAGATGCTTAAAAATGTTGACTAAGTATTTTAATTAATATTTATAAAAAATATATTCAGGAAATTGATAAATATTTTATTCCAAATCTATTCATACGTATGTATAATATGGAAATTGTATCAGTTATTGAGAAAAAAAACTAAAAAATAAAAAATAATCACATTAAATAAGCAAAATCTGGTGTATTATCATATTCAATCACAAGCATGCTTTTATAAAACTCGACACTCGTTGATTAAAATGTTTTATTCATATTTCTTTACTAAATTGCAAATAGAATTTTAGACGACTAAAAAAGAAATATCGTATTTTATAGTTTTAAAAAAATAAAAATAAAAAATTTAGCAAACGATTATTAGCGAAAAAAATATGAATGAAATTTCACGCCACTCGCGCTAAGTCAAGTTCCTCGTAAGTTTATCACATTTTAATATTAATCGCCCCATTAAATCATTTCTTCATTGTCGCCAAATTATTATTTTTTTTAAATAATTAATTTTAATTTTCCTCATCTTCTAAAAAATAAAAACAATAGAAACTTTAGATTTTTCAATTGAAAAATATGTAGATTAAAATGGTATAAAAAAATCCCTACCTTATAACTCGAAATTTTTTCATCCTCACTTTAATTAAATAATAAAAAATAATAAATAATTATTAAAAATTATTTTTTTTCGTGAAATTATCTTTGGATAAATGATTTTTATGGGTGGGTGCAATTTTTTTTGAATTGCTTCATTAGTTTTTAAAATATGATTGAAAACGTAAAAAACGAAATTAACATTAAGGGGTCCAAACTTTGAATCGTTCTCCTGACCAAACTATGGGGACCACATTTCCCAGATTGCAGCTACCCCCTATATTTTGAAGGTTAAGAATCCAAATATGTAAAAAAAAATACATGTTTATTCAGAGAAAGTACGTTTTTGTGTCTGATTTTGTAACTTAATTAATAGTTAGCACTAATTAATTAGCATATTTGAGGTCACCCCCCCGGAACCATTAAGATTGACACGTAGTTCGTGAAAATCCGATCATTAGAACGAAAGTTATTCCGGGTGATATCTTTTTTTTTTTGCGGACTGTACATTTTAAAAACTAAGTTTACATTATGATGAAGATAATTTAATTCATTTTCTGTTGTATGAAAAATGATAAAATATTGTTAAAAACAAACATGAGTTAAATTTTTTAATAAGTTAAGTGCTTATTTGAAATATATCCTAAAATACAGACTATTATTATTATTTAAAAAAAAATTGCATTTCCCCCTCCCCTTCCTTCTAATAATAAAAAATTGTAACTTAATGTTAAATGTTTTAAAATAAATCTTTTTTTTCTTTCACACTTTGTATAATTTTTTCTTTTTAGAACACAGTTCTATAAAATGTAATACATTGAAACAAAGAACTCGGATAATTGTTCGTGGATATGAGAACAAAATTTTTTTTTTCACCTTCAAGTTTGACTTAAAACTGTTTCAAACTTTACTTATCAATGAGATTGTTGTAATAATTTAAAAATTGAAGGAGTCCTCCCTTCTTCCCAAAGTTGTTTTGTTGTCCATGGGGACTCAGAAATACAGCATAAAGAAATTATAATTACTGCCCACTGGAATGGTATGGAAGTTTCTAAAAGTTTAAAAGGCGAAGTAAGAAAGATAAATTTGTAGAATTCACTTCTAACCAAAAGTGGCTTATAGGGTTTTCAATTTAATCCCTGAACTGCCTTAAATAAAATTACTAAGAAAATAAACATAACAAAGCTAATGTTTTTCCAACTGCATTCTTCATTTACTGATCTACTTGTAACCTTTCTCTCATTATTGGATTGCAACAATTTTGTTTTTAAAGTCTTGTTTATTATCATAGGTTCAGTATTTGCAATGAAATGTAATTTTAAATTTGAACAAATAAACTGGGGAAAAAAATTAAAAATTTAAAAACGAATAAAAATAATTATAAGTGAGACCATCACATTAATTTCAAACTAATTATTAAAAATTTTTACTTTTTTGATTAACAGTTTGAAGCAGATGAAAATTTTAATTTCCTGTTAGTTTTTTTACCATTTTTTGCAATCCTATGAATTTGTTATAATTGTTTCAAAATGTTTCCTACGTTCAAATTGTTTCCCATGATTCAAAAATTGCTTTTCATCTGTGGTACATAAAAATAATTTATGGAAAAAAATTAATTTTCAAGTACATTTTTCTTACAAATGTTATCGATGGCTGCTTGTGACAAGCTTTTATAAATAACAGTTTATTGTGTAAACTCTTTTATATTGGTCTTACTCAAAAAAGTATAAAGTTTATTTCTTCTAATAAAAATACTTTGTCATAATTAATTTTTTTTTTTTAAATATTTATCTAAGTTCAATTATGAGAGTTCAACTATTTTCTCGGAATATTATAACTTTGGATTTTGACATGCAAATATTTTCCGATTATTCATACATTTTTCTTTATTTACTCATTTTTAAACATAAAAATGTTTATGAACAGTAATTTTTTCATAATTTTCTAGTTGGTTTTATGAATGTGTTAATAAAAATTACTTGAAAACTATTGAGTTCCTCATTAAATCATGTTTATAGTTTAAGATTATGTTTCAAATAAATATTGTGTATTATTAATTTTATTTAATTATACTCTTTCAAAAATGCACCAAATACTTTTTAAGTTTTTTTTTCTCCATTCGGAGTTTCCAAATGCTTTTATAAGAGATCCAATACTGCTTCATTGCATTCTAAGGCATATTTGTTTTTTATTCATTTGTTTTTACTTTAGATTGAAGAATTCATGTAAAAATAAAGAGAAAATATATTTTTATTTAAAATTTGAATTAATTCTTACAACAACTTTTTTTCCCCTATGCATTTTTTTTCACTATCAAATATTTTTGGCAAATTTTTGCTACTGCCGCTTTTGTTACATGATAAAAACTAACAAATATTGGAACCCTACTAAACTCAAAATTCACTTTTATTATTGGGATATAAAGTTGAAATGAATTAAATCTTTTGATTTCAGTCATGTTTTAAATCAACTATATATTTTTTTAAGAAACCACTGTTTTAAACAAATTGATTTTTTTTTTAATAATTGAGACCATTTATGATTAATCATTAAGTCAAAAATATGTTTGTAATTACATTCTTTACTGTGCGATTCTTTTTAAAGTCTGATCTCATTGATAATAAAGGTTTTATCCAAAGATATAAAAGGTTTTATCAAAAGGGTAAATTATTATATTTCTAAATATACTAATAAATAAATAAAATTAGAGACTGAAAGTGGATAAGAGTAGTGTCAAACTGTTAAATTATAATTTCCCACTAACTGTATGTAAAACAATCAGCTAGGAATTTAACATAGATCAATTATACCCATTTAATTTTATTTTTATTTGAATGCTTTAAGTGTTTTTAAAACATATTTACTTGCTATTAGTGTTTAAATACTGATAACTATATTGATAAAATATAGCCCAGAGAAACTTTCAATAATATTTTTCTTTAATGTGTTCTGATATTAACTATTTTACTCTTCATTAGGTATCTAACTGTCAAATTGCTTCCCTGTCTTTAAAAGTTTAGATGTTTAGTTTGTAATAGTAAAAAAAAAAATTTCTTAAATAGCATTTGAAATAGAAATATTAATAGTTTTAGCTATATTATTGTTTTAAAATTGCACTTTTAATTCATAACTTATTGTTAATGATTTTATCAGATAATTTGGCTAGTATATAGTATTTTTTTTATTTAAATAAAAGAAAATTTGATTTTAAAAAAAATTTGGCAACTATGTTGGGATTGTTATTTATTAACATCGCAAAATATGCATTTCCTAAATAAAAAATATGGAAGATCAGGGGTGATTAAGCTCCAGAAAAAATCCGGATTTTTCGCTAACCGCGTTTTGAAAGTTTCCGGAAATCCAAAGTACAGATGTTTCAAGAAATCATCAATCACATTTATATATAAAAATTCTTGTATATTTTATTTAAAAATTTTTAGAACTAGAATTTATACTTGGCATCTCTTTCATTTTTAAATATTTTTTCTGGTAGAATAATAAATGTGATTAGAGATAAAAGTAAACTTACACATAATTATTCATTTAAATTATGTTGCATATAATTCATTTAGAAATGGCTTGAAAATTTCAATAAATAAAGTTAATTTTATTTTATAAAGTAAATATTTAAATTTATAAAGATATTAATTTTTTGAATGATTTTACTCTAAAAATTTTCAAGATTTATGAGTTGGGCTCACAATCACCCCTGGTAGATCTTTATAAGATTTTTTTTCTCCTTTGCAAACATTTTGTTACCTCTCAGCCACTAGTTTCATAAAACTATAGCACTATATATGCACAAATCTATGTTTATGTTTGTTAAATGTAAAAGCTGAAAGTGAATTTGAAATATATTATGAACATACATAAAATCAATGTTTTTCTGTGTTCACATTTGTGTATAGTGTCTGAAAATATTTATCAAAAGTAAAGTTAACTTTTTACATTGGAAATTTAATTTACATTAGTTTTTACATTCAAAATATACCAAAATGTTGCATAAATATGTAAACATCAAATATGTTTGTTGTCGAAAATATTATCTTTACTACTGAGTCCTTACATATTTTCATTATTTTAAAACAAAGTGTTTGTTCTTAAGAGGAGGTACGCTGTTCAGTCTTATCATCCAGTCATTTTCATCATTAGTGATAATGCTAAAGTCTTGAAGGTTCTCTTTTTCTTAAGGATCTGCAGTTTTCTTTGAAAATCAAAAATATTAGGTAAATAGTTTTATTGTAATGCTACTTTTATGTGTATTAAACAGAGATAGATCAGGGAACAGATTTTTTACTGATACAGTACAGTTTTATGTAATATTTTTTTTTTCATCACCTAGTATTTTGGATTTGTTTTGTTGGTTTTGTAACATAATGTATTTGAACATGTTTGTTGACCACTATATAAAATATGGTAAAGTTTGCGATTTTCAGAAGAATGGAGTGCCTGAAAAGGAGCATTTCTCAACTAAAAATACAGTTAACCGATGACAATTGCGAGCCTCCGTTATCTGATTTGACAAAAGTAAACCATTTTTAAACCCTAAGCACTCTCATAATTACAAAAATATACATTTGAAAATTAGACGATATTGCCAACTAACATCAAATGATTGCTTCCCTATTAAATAAAAGTTGGCTTTTTTTTTTAAATTAACACATTTATAAATGCAAAAGAAAAAGTTTCAGTAAACAGTTTTACTGTTTATTTTATTAATGCTTATTTTGTATAAGTATCTAATTTATTTTGTGTTATTGAAAACTATGAATTCAACGAATTTTGCTTTAAAGCTTTGTGTTTTACATGTTATTAATAATTTTTTTGTTGAATACTTTTTACTTTTTTTTTAGTTTTAATGCAATTGCCCCAACCATGATGATGAAAGTGCTCACAAAAATTAATAACTCACCAAAGGTAAGGTGTCTCCTGCATTAAACTTCAGATCTCATTGAAGGAGACAAATTAATAAGTTTCATTTCTTTTAAATTTTAGGTGCATTCCTGCTACAAAAAAATAAGCAAGTCTGAAATTGAAAATATTGTTGCCGATTCTTTGGGAGATGCCATAAATTCTATGCAGTTCATGTGCATGTCTTGTATGTTATCTACATAATGATTCTAATTTTTATAAACATATGATTCTTCATTTTTCGTGTTGCAAAAACACTATGCGTCTGATAAAATTGTCTTAGGATTGACTTTATGTTTATTGCATTTTTAGAAACATTGTTAAAGTTTATCATATTATATGTTAGACTTCCATTATATGTTAGACTTTATAAACTTTCCTTAATGCATGTAATAATTATGATTCTAATTTTTACGTGATTCTTTATTTTTTGTATGACAATAGCACTAAGGTTTTGATAGGATGATTTTTATTGCATTTTTAGAAATAACCTAGAAACATTGTTGAAGTTTATCATATAATGAACTTCCATTATATGTTAGACGTTATAAACTTTCTTTAATGCATATAATAATGATTCTAATTTTTATGTAGTTTTTTATTTTGTGTGTGACCAAAGCACTATGGTTATGATAGTGTTTTCTTAGATTTGAGTTTTATTTTTATTTCATTTTTAAAAATAACTTAGAAACATAGTTAAAGTCTATCATATAAAAATAAAGAAACTTTAAAGTTTATTCCCTTAAATGTTTATATATTTATAAGATTTTTTTTCCATTTTTTTTTTCAGTTAGCACAAAAACTTTTTAAGGGCATGAATAAATTGTTACAGAGTATTGAGTGTTATAAATATTGTTTGCAATCAAAGTATGAAATTGATTTAAACAAATTTTAAGATAAAAATGTTAGGTTAAAACTTCAAAATAATAAGTCAAAATGGAAGAGTGCTAGAAGCAGCTAAAACCAAAATTGTCTTATGTAAACAATTGAAATAAAAAGTTAGAAACCAAAAATAAGCAAAACTTTAGTTAGTATTAAAAACAGTTAGCACAAAAACTTTTGGAGTGCAAAAAAAAAAACTTATTGGGGAGTATTGAGTATTATGAATATTGTTTGCAATCAGAGTATGAAATTGGTTTAAGGAAATTTTAAGATACATGCTTATGTAAGCATTTGAAACAAAAAGTTAGAAAGCAAAAGTATGCAAAACAAAATTTTAAAGATATGTATGCTAGCAAATTTTTGCGGTTAGCATTTGCTAACATACATATGTTTAAAATTTCCTTTTGCTTATTTTTGCTTTCTAACTTTTATTTCAATTGAATATTGTTTGTTTATAAGGAGTAAAAGATAACTTTTTAAACTTCATACCTATGCAAAATGTTACAATACACTTATTACATAGTGATTCAGAACATTTTAGAGATATGTTATCTTAAGCATTAAATTTTTTTAATGTTAAAGGAGAAAAAGAAGAAATATGTGAAAAATCTTCAGTCGAAATTAAACATATATATTTTAAGCATAAAAAATATTTGATAAAAAAGAAAAGAAACCTAAATTACTTATTTTTTAAAATAACAGAACTCTATGAACAAACATTTAAAAATATTGTATCTAAGTAAAAGATTCCTGAAGGAGAAAAAATATTCCCATTTAAAAGTGAAAGAGTAAAATTACAAAAATTTATTAGATAATTTTTATTTAAAAATATCCAGAAAAAAGAAAAGAAAATGCAATCAAAGTTCACAGAAATAGGAAAATGACTGAATGACATTAAAGTTTACTTTTAACTAAAGAAAATAAATGTTAACAGAAAAAGTAGAAAAAGAATTTGTTTTTCTTTATTCATTAAGTTTTTGAAACTAAGTTATATTTTTTTCTGACATTTTAAGAGCCACTTAATAATTTTTTTTTTTTGTCATTTCTATTTCAAATAAGAGGGCAAATATTATTTGCTATCATGGCTGCTATAGATTTTTGGTTGTCGTAATTTAAAACATTTTGAAAATTGTGTGAACTACATGATGAGGAAAAAAAAACAGAACTTGTAGGATGCTTAGTTTAACACTTCACTTTGTTTCTCTGAAGGAGTGATATTGAAAGTCTTAATTTATAAAAATACAGAGAAAATCATAAAACAATAATAACATATTGTGTAAAGAAAGATTAATTAAAATTTAAATTGTTTCTTTCTCTTACTTTCAAGAGGTGCCGACCGGACTATGTAGGGGTCAGGGAACTGACCTTGCACCAGGAAAGTGTTGGGAATCCCATGCAAAGCATGGATGTTCTTTAATCCTCTGTAGTATCTATCCTTACTGTGAGAGCAAACTTTGGCCCACCTAATATGGTACCCCTGAAAGAGTGGCCAACAAATCTGCACTGTAAATGTCTAAATTGACAAAATGTTAGCATGGTTGGGTATTGGAAATAAAATAAAAAAACTTTTCAGAAGTTTCATATTTATTTTCACATTAAATTTGATGACTTTAACTGCAACTCTTTGCACTGTAGGCATCTTGTATGGGTTAGCATTTCCTTTTGTTGATGTTTATTAATTTTCTTTTTCAATTTTAAAATTATCAGTATTTTTTTTAAGACTTTAAGAAGCCCTTATCTGTGCAAGGGAGTGTTTCTTCCTCTGAAGATGGTAGTAAAAGCGATTCCTCTCTGTTTCTGTTTCATGCATTGGGAAAAAATTCTTTACTCCAAGTGTAAGTTTTTTTCCTATAGGATTCAGTATTGATTGTGGTACTTGCTAAATAACTTAAATGTTGATATTTATTTTATTTAGGTGATGCATCAAACAAATCAAATCAAGATGTACTTCCTACTCATCTGAAAATGTTTGAAAGGGATCCTCTCATTTCTAATCCTGAAGTAAAAAATTTAGAAATAAATACTGTCATTACATCAAATCTAAACTGCTTTCAAGTGAAAGCCACACTCCAAATTTTCAGCCTCACTCCAAATTCTTCTTTTGTTTCACATAAAAAATAGGTTTTTTGTTGTTGTTGTTTCTAATGTGACTTGCCATACGGGCAAGCCTGCTTGGTGAAACCAATCAAATTTAAGGCAAAGTGTGCGATTCTTGTTCTTTCAGTGGCGCCATCCTATGGCCAAGAATTCGTCTTCAGCCAGACACACGTCACAGCCCGTTTTTTATAGGGCGGACCCATTCATTCATCCACAGATCGTAATTTTTTACCTAAATCAGAGAACGATCGATCTCCAATCCTGCACCCCCAGAGGTATTGATTTGCTATGGGAACATGGAGAAATTTGTGACTCGACAGATTTAACGTGCATCAGTCACCATTTAATGCACGGGGAGTCTTCGAACGGCAGGGTTCGAACTGTCGGACATGGGGCCAGCTCCCTACCGACCAGGCTATCCTGGCCCATGAGTAATATAGTAATAGTAAAAATAGTGTAAAGAGTTTTATTGATATCATACATTTATGACATTAAAAGGCCAGGATAGCCTGATTGGTTGGGTGCTAGACTCACGATTGTGAGAACAGGAATTCGAATCCGGCCATGGATTCTCTATGTAGTAAATGGTGACTGGTGCACATTAAATCTGTCGGGTCACAAAGTGTTCCACGTCCTCATAACAAATTATACCTCTGGGGGTACTTGATAGGAGATTGATCATTCTCTGCTTCAGGTCAAAATTACGATCTGTGGGTGAAAGAAAGATAGTATGAATGGGTCTGCCTTATAAATAGGTGTGACATACGGGCAGTGTTGTCAGGTACCGGTAACCAATCACCCCAGATGGCGTTATAAAATGCCCTAAAAATTAAAAAAAAAAACTTTTAAACATGTATAAGTATTATAAAATAGTATAAAAGTTAAATAATGTATAGAAAACGTTGCCTTAATACTTTTTAATATTTTATTATCAAGAAATTAATGATGTGCTGATAATTGACAAAAGGATGAACAATTGTACTATTAATTTACCATTAAACTGTTTTTTGTGTTCCCAAACTTTCTTGTACTTTTGTATGTACTTTTTTTATTTATCCTTTGTTATTATTTTTAAACCATACGCATTAAAATTTTTAAATAATTTGTTTTCAAATTCATCAAACGTACAGGTTGATCGAGCTAAGTAATAAGTTGCTACANATAAGTGTACAAATTTTCATCAAAATCTGAGACGGTGGGTGCCATTTTTGTAAAATCCTGTATGATTTGACATGGAATGACCCTTAACATTGATTTTCATATTACTATCTCACACATTCAGTTATAAAATTTGATATTAGAATGTAACCAAATTGAAACTAGTAAAATTCACAAATAACCCTAAAAAAAAAACCTAAAAACAAGTTCCCCTAAAATACCCACTGAAGATAAAACATCCCCCTAAATTTCGAGGGGAAACCCCTAATTGGGCAACACTGCATATGGGTGTGGCAGAAGACAAAATTCTTGGGCATAGACTAGAAAACAAGAACAATCACACCTTCAGTTCCTTAATGGTCAACAGCATGGAATTTTTAAAATAAAATTAAAATGAGGACTAATAAGAAGTGCTTTACCAGCATTACAAACTTATATGAACCTATAATTTCTCAAACTGTCAGTATTATGTTCTGAAAATGATTTTGTCCTCTCCCCCTATTACATTTGATTTCAAGTGTTTCTTATACAATGTCATCTTTTGTGCCATACAATGCATTTGTTATGTGAAGTTTTTGTTAAAACAATGTATTCTAGTCAAATTAGATACTTTTTCCCACCCAACAAGTATTCATCCTGAGCTTTTGACTTACAAATTTTTGCACCTTCGATTCTAGGCTTCTGCTTAGAGTCGAATATATAGGTACTTAACTATATAGTCAACACTTTATATGGGGACTCGTACCATGTGGTCTAAATGAAATTACACTTCTAAACACGAAGCTGATGCATCATAAGTACCTAAAATTACAGCAAGTATTTATTCATAAATGCAGAACTTATTTTGACAAAAATATTCTTCTGCTATTCTATCTACTTTGTTCTAAATTTTTAATTTCTCTTCTAATCATATAATGTTATGCTGATTACTAAAATACATTTCTGCTAAATAACATACATCCAGATAGCTCTTAAATCTATGCAATACTAAAATCAAGAAGAATACAAATACCTCAAGTTTTATCTTCAAACAAAAAAAAAAAACTATTAATTCCTTCACTTAACAAAAAGAGAGAGTTCAAACAAGAAAAATATGAGTCATGAATTTATTGAATCCTTTTTAAAAAAATTTACTAATGTTATTAATGTATTGCAAGCAGAAGACTTTTCTGTTTTGATGTGATTTTCTTATAAACATCTGGCCAGCCTCGTGTCTAATTTCTTCAACAGCTGGGTTAGAAAAAATATTTTCTAGCTTTAGATTTTTTTCAATCCAAGCTGTGCAGGTGATTAGGCACTAACAACGCAGAAAAGTTACTTTTATGTTCAAATATTTTAACGAAAAGAAATGAGTGAATTAGTGTGGTTTTAAAATGTTAGTAAAATGAAAATGACCTGATACTTCAGATAGATTCTTATATATCAGTGACAGTAAAAACATTTAATGTTTGAGAACTTTTTCTTCTCTTTGTCAATATTTTGTTTAATTTTTATATTGAAAATATACTAAAATTTTGCATGTATATGAAAACATCAGATAGTTTTGGTGTTTTCAGAAATATTATGATCTTTACTACTACTGAGAGCTTTCATATTTTTGTTAATTTAAAACAAAGTGTTTGAAAGAGCAAACATTTTTAACACTTATTTTGGATGTGATTTTCTGATAAAAAAATTTAACAAAAATTTCATGTTTTATTGGAATGAACATTCAGACTTTCTAACAGACAATAAAATAGCATTTTGTCTATGGAATAGATGTATTGGTTGCAATGCCATATCTGCCTAGTCTCCAGTTTTTTAACGAACACTCCTGTATTTTACAACTATCTCCTGATCTCCTGTTATTCTCTAATTTTTCCGTATTTGCTGACGAAATTTTTTAAAAAAATTGTTGATAAAATAACCGCTTAAGGCAAAAATACTTCTCTTTTTCCTCAACGGATAGTGCTATTGCCAGTACTGCATAGTGTTTAGTGTTAATAGCTGTTGATAGTTAGTGGTTTTCCTCTCCATCTAGCACAAATGCGAGTTAGTTCCATCAAAAAGTCCTCCACGAAAACAAGTTTCTCCCAATACTTGATCCAGGAATTCCCTTGTCTTCTGGGTTGGGTTCAAAATTACAAGGCTACAGAGTCGAATATTAGTAGCCATATACCCAGGATTGGGTTGGCTGTTTAACAACTGTTATAGAATAGTTTAAGTAATTATAAATAATGGTTTTAAAAAAAACTTCTTTAGATTAAGATTTATATACATATTTTTTACTTCGCTAAATGTAAGTGCTTTTGTTATTTCTAATTTTGAATATTTCTTTTTGACTTACATGATTATGCATAATGTTTCAAAACATTACTCATAGCCTAAAAAATGTCGCTAGTAAAATCTCCACTATTTTATTTCTCCAATGTTGGCAGGTATGCAATGCAGGCTGTTTGCTGATGTTTACTAATCTTGTATTGTATTATTTTAGGAAGTGTTTGATAAAACATCTATTTCTGCTGAAGCTTTTACTTTGTTTTTGCAAGAGAATTACATTCCCTTTGTTGATGACATTGAAGCTAACTTTGAATGTGCACATTGGTTAAGTGAAGCTGATTACGTCAGCGCTCTATGGAATGTATGTATCACTTTTTTTTTTAAACTACTAATAATTTATTTAAAAACTTTGAGAAATAGTGTTCTATTTTTTATGTATCTTTTAGCTCACAAATTTGAAGAATGGAAACAATAACCCCCAAAATAATTCTCTTTTTAAAACCAAACACTATTTTTATATTTACATTAGCTTAAATTTCAATGGAGTGTCCATCAGCTTTTCCAAACTTTCCTCAATTAAGGGCAAAGTAGGGCAAAGTTTTCAATACCCAAAGGCTCTATGATTGAGGAACTCTTTCTTTCGTCCGTAGGGCACTAGATCCATGCTCAAGAGGTTCTGGGTTCGGTCCCTGCCGGCCAAAAACTTTCCGTGTAAATGTTGACTGATGCACGTTAAATCTGTCGTGTCACAAAGTTCTTTATGTTCCCATAACAAATCATTCCTATGGGGGTACTGATCCAGAAGTTTCCTTGTCTTCTGGGTTGGTTCAAAATTGCAATGCTATGGAGTTCAACATTAGTAGTTGTAAACCCAAAATTAAAACGGCTGTTCAACGACGGTTATAAAATAAAATAAAATATTGTATATTGAGCCGCAATGACTCAGGGAATAGAGCATTCGCCTTCCAAAGAGGTGAACCGGGCGCAAATCCCAGCAATTGCTGGTTGATACAACTCCGAATCTCGCTTGCGCCAACCACAGTGATGACGTGATATATCCTTAGTGGTAGACGGATCATGGGTTACAGTCCCATTGCCGTCAGCCTGTCCCTGGGGGCTCTAGTGGTCTTCCTCTCCATGTAATGCAAATGCGGGTTAGTTTCATCAAAAAGTTCTCCCGGAAGGTAAATTCCTTCCAATACTTGATCCAGGAGTTCCCTTGTCTTCTGGATTGGGTTCAAAATTACAAGGCTATGGAGTTGAACATTAGTAATCGTAAGCCCAAAAATTGGGTCGGCTGTTTAACAGCGGTTATAAAATAAAATAAAATAAAATGAAATGTTGTATGTTCATTAAAGAAACCATTTGGCTGAAACTCTCTTGTCAAATTCTTGTTTCTAAATCAATTTGTTTCATGTCAAAGGTTTTATTGGGACGTTAAATTTTTTCCTGGAACAGAAAGTCATGTGACATTTGATTTATTTAATATACTCCAGTCCCTTATCTTGGAATCACTTGTTTCAGTTGAATTTTTATTTTTTCTGTGCCATGTAATTTAGTTAAGCAAAATCTCTTAGCTGTATAATTTGGAGTTTTTAAAGTCTCATATTCATATGTCTGAAGATATGCATTATATTTTTCTTCCTTTCTAAAAATTTTCGAATTAGTCTAAGGTTATTAAAATTAAATTTAATCTTTATTTCCTAAAGAAAGACTTAAAGAAACACTAATCACATAAAAATTATTATTTCTTGCTCTTCTCTTTAGTCTGAAGATGAAATGATCTTTGCCTTTATTTCAAAATATTTAAAGAACAACTTATTTAAATATTTAATTTATTTATTCATTTTTTTTGTGGGGATCTCGATTAAACTGGGTTTTTTTCTTCATAATTTTCAGGGTTCCCCTAGCTCAGGGTAAACTTGAAATTGTTAGGGAATTTCTTTTTTACTCTAAAAATCAGGGAATAGTCAGAGAACGCTGCATTTTCTTTATAAAAACTTGGAAAATTTCGATATCATGCCTGGAAAATAGCCAGTCTTAAATTTGTCCGTAAAAGTAATCAGTTATTGAGATTAAAGTTAAATAAATCTGACATCTATTATTTGTTATAAAAATTGCACATTTTAGTCAAGCTGAAATAATCCCATCCTCATTTAATGACATTTTTTTTTCACACAAAATCAAATATTTCACATTACAGATAAAAAGAATCAAAGTTTTCAGAGGAAAGTATGATCTTGATTTTCATTGAAATTTACCTGGAAAAGTCAACAAAAAAAATTTCTGAAGTTTAATGGAAGCCTTGATTTTGCGGTGAACCACAATTAGCAACTAATGAAAAGAGTACTGATTTGAATATCTTAAAAATTTTAAAAATCTCAAGCAATTTTTTAAGTAATTTTTGTATTTTTTAAAAGAAATCACAAAAGGTTAGCGTTTTTCACAAATTTTATTTTGTAGTCTCGCCTATTTTTTCCGACATCATTTTTAATAAATATTGTTTTATAATATAAAATGAAACTTGTGGAAAGACCCTTATCATTTTTAGCTTTCTTTTAAAAATACAAAAACAACTTAGAAAATTGCTAGACACTTTTTAAATTTTTAAGATATTTAAATTAGATTATTTATTAGTTGCCAAAATACAATTAATTACAAAAATAAAAATAAAAAATTTTTTAATTTTCTGTGTGTGCGCAATATAAGCGAACTACTTTAAATACTCATATCTTAAGTAGTTTTTATTGATTTTTTTTTCAAATTTTAAATCCATATTTTTGTAAATAATTTTAAATTTCTCTTAACAATTTTGTTTAATTATATTAGATATTGAAGTTATTACAAAAAAGAAAAAAAACATAAGACAGAGGAATTAATTTTTTTTAAATGTCTATAACTCCATAAATATTTAGGCTAGGTTTATGAAATTTTATGCTGTTATTGCAAATAACAACCAAAACAATCAATACAAGTTACAAGATTCTTGATTAGCTTTCTGGCATAGGGTGTTAAAAAATCCTTTTTTTTTTGTAATTTATTGTTGGTTTCTCAAACTTCTGAAGGTTTTAAGCTTTATAGCTAAGTATAAAAAAAAATCTCATGAACTAAAAACCTTGAGAAATTTTAGAAAAAGCCAAAAACTGAAATTGTCTCTACCATTATTCTAGGGTAAATTATGTATATATATATATTTGTTTCAGAGTCGTGACACAATGAATGATTATATGGTGTCTTTGGCGTCTAGAAGTCTGATGTTCAATTTGTCCTCTGTGAATAATAGGAGGTGGAGAGCACTGCACAAACCTCAATTTTATGTAAATTTATCTGAGGTATATATGAAGATTCTTTGCCAAAATTATTGTTTTGTAATTTTATATCTGCTTTCATTTTTTTTAAATTTTATTTATTTATTATTTCTTTTTTTATCTTACAGCAAAGGCAGTTGCAAAAATCTCTGAAGTATGCTTTTAGTGGTAAGACTTTATTTTAATAGTTACTTTGTACCTATTTTTTATTATTTTAAAGCAAAATTATAAACTTGCTTCCAGCATTACCACTTAGTAAAAATATCTTAACTTCACTACGCCGTGTACTTATGTGAGTAGTTGAAGATTAATTGCAGTTTTGTAAAATGAATTTTGTTATCTATGTTTTAATACATGGTGCTTAGAGTTTTTAAAAAGTGCTTAAAGGTGCTTATCTTCGATTTTCTTTTTTTTTAAAGGCCCTTAAGATGCTTTTTTTTAATTCAGTGTTTTTAAAAACTGCTTAATTTTCCCTTTTCAAAAATTAGATTTTTTTTCTTTACTTTGTCGATTTTTGCCGCATATTATGCAGAAGCGTGTTTTTCACATTATTCTATTCAACGTTTTTGCAAGTCATTCAACCACAATCCATTTCGATGTACCCTTGATATAGCGTATGAAAGTGCCAATCATTTTACTTGTTTGATGAAATACTTGCAGGTCTGCATGTGCGTCTACTGAGCTGGGCTCACTGACATTCTTGCTCTCTCATGTGCAACTCTGCTGCATTTTGCTAGATATTCTCAATTTTAGACTTCATTTTCCACCACCTGATATCAGACTGGAAAAACTCTTGATCTTTTTATAATAGCTAATATAATCAAGAAAAGAGTTCGTTGTCAGAAACTGGTTATTTTATCCTGATCATGTAAAATTTGAAAATTATTTTGCATTTTGTTAATGTATGTAGTGATTAAAAATATATTTTGAACTCTTAAAAAGTACTTAAAAGGTGCTTATTTATTGTTGGAAGATTTGGCAACTCTTCCTGCAATAATAATACAGTCAATGCTTCATTGCTGTCTAAACTGTTATGTTGTGAGTTTTGTAAATATTCATTAAATTCTCTCAAAATAGTTTTTTTTTTCTTTGAAAAAAATTATGGTTTTACTTTTTTCTAATATTAAAAGAGACACTATGTTACAATGCCACAATTCAAAAAGGAACCAAAACCAAATCCAAAAGCCACTAATTCTTCCATGCATTATAGTTGATATAAAATTTGCATGCGCATAAATAACATAATTTTCTAAAAAGTTTCATTATGCTCAAAATCTTTTAAAATAACCTAACAGTTACTATAGATCACAATTCTCAGAGATAATATTTCTAGGTTTGTTTTTTTTCATTATTAGGAAGCATTGATCTTCCTAGAAAGCTTTAACTTTTTTAGACTTTGGAAATTTTTAACTAGATTCTTAGACCTACCTAAAATATTCAAAATTTGCATTTGTATGTTTTTAAACTTTTTCAGAAGTTTAAACTCACTTGAACTTTGTTTAAACTTCTTGAGAAGGCCAAGGCCCACCCTGGGCTGTTGAGCCATTGATGATGATGATGTTTTTAAAATGGGTATTCGTAGCTGCCAACTCTCCTGGATTTACCAGTCGACTACTGGATTTTGCCATTTTTTCCCTGGTCTACTGGTATAATAAAAATTCTCCTGGTTTTCGTACATTTTAGAAAATTCTCTATAATTGATTAAGTTTTTGAAAAATATCCTTATCGGAATAGAATTTTTACGCAATTTATCACTTGCTTGAATATTTAAATAAGTATTGCTAGTGCATAATGGAACGAGCCTCACTTATTGTAATTAGTTTAAAGCTTTTCTTTTTTTCTGAAAATTTAAGTTTGTTTTATTCTGTACTTAAATAGTAAAATCTTTTAATTATCAATAAAGATTTACTTGTCTTTTTAAAATAGAAGTTAAAAATAATAAAAAGAAACATTTCAAATTCATTTAATATTAATCATAAATGGAAAATATTGCAAACTATTTACTATTAGTGTAATAAAGTTTTATAGTGTAATAAACTTTATTAGTGTAATAAAGTTTTTGTATTGTGATGACTATAAAAATCCCAAACTTCCCAAAATATTTAAAAAATTATGGAACAGTTATCATAAAATTTTTATTTTTTCGTAAAATCTACTGGATTTATTCCTTTCCATGTTGGCAGCTATGGGTATTTATGGTTATGAAATGTTGGTAACTTTTTAATTTGCATTTTATTGTTCAACTTGGATTTTTTTATAGCTTATGAATTAAGTGCATTGCCTATTCTTTTCAGGCTCTTCTCTTAGTATGAGAGAGCTACAAGTTGACTTAGTTCCTTATTCAAAATTGCAAATAAGGGATTTAAATCCTGGTATTAACACTTTAATATTCTATTTGGAAAAAAAAACATAATAAATAGATTAAAAATATTTGCTTCAATTTTATCTCAAGTAACACTAACAAAGGAATTAGGATATATGAAAATAAAAAAGTTTTTTGGGTAATTAATTATCATTTTATGTTAATTTTTTAAACCTTGTAGTGATGCAATCAACTAATTAAGCTGTATTAAGTCCAATATTCTTCGGAGATGATTCTGCTTACCGCAATCCGAAAATTTCATAAAATCCGGAAGTTTCAAGAAATCATTGATCACATTTATGTATAAAAATTTTTGTATAATTTATTTAGAAATATTAGGAACTAGAATTTATGCTTGGCATCTCTTTACAGAATTATTAATTTAAATTATGTTGTATATAATTTATTTAGAATTTCATGTTGTGAAAATATCAATGATTTAAATTTATAAAGACATTTATCTTTTGAAACGCGTCATTAATGATTTTACTCAGGAAATTTTCAGGTTTTTTGACTTTGGCTCAAAATCACCCCTGATTCTTTCAAACAATTAAATTCTCTTCAATTTGGTTTTTATTGTTATTGATTTTAGTTTTAAAATTATCAATTTTATTTTTTAATAAAATTGTAAATTATATTTTGAAAAAATATGTGTTAAATATTTAAAAATATTTAACACATATTTTTTCAAAATATAATCTGAAAATATTCCAACTTGTCCTAAAGGTGACCACTTACAATTGCTATTACTTTGTACATGTATGTATACTATATTTCTTTTTATTATCTAATGTAGTACATATGCTTTGATGTTAGACCTTGTAAAAAATTGTCTTTTTTGAAGAATTTTGTGTTATTTTTTTTTCAATTAGATGGACTAGATGCCTTTGTCTTTACACTCTCAAGAAAATGTTTTATAAATATTGAAAATTATATCTTCTGAAACACTGTTCCTCAATTTAGGATTATAAATTAAGTTTTGTGCAGAAATTGTGTGCAACATTACAAGGGTTGGTTAGTCTCAATGTTTGATCTAGGAGTTTTCTTGTCTTCTGGGTTGGGTTCAAAATTTACAAGGAAGCATAGTTAAGCATTGATGGTTGTAAACCTGAAATTGACTTGACTGTTCAATGCGGCTGTAAAATGAAATATAAAGTTACGCAAAAGATAAATATATTGAGATAATACTATCTTTAGTTAGAGAAGAAGATTGTTCCATTCTTTTTCTTCTCCGAATCGTAACTCTTAACACTAAATTTTTCAACAACAGATTATTTGGAGATCATGGCTTTTCTTTCATTTTCATATTGAAATTGAATGTCTGCTTATTTATGAAAATATTTACACAATTTGTTCACACCTACTCCTTCTGAATTTACCATCAACTGGCATCGAAGCAAATGTTGAAAATAGCATCACACTCATATTCCTGTGCTGCTTTCAGAGGTGATAACCATTACAATTTCTCCAAAATTAAAAACTATTTTAAGATTTCTTCAAGAAAATAAGAAATAAAAATTATAGTTTTTAATTTTGTTTTGTTTTTTGCAGCTATTTAACAAATCTTTATTTTTTTACTCCTTGGAACCATTTTTTAAACAGTACAAACATAAGAAAGTAACCGTACATAACCGTAGGTAACCGTACAAACATAAAAATAAACCGTATAGGAGAACAAAAGAGCTTAATCTAAAAACAGAAGCGCTGTGAGAAAATATTTTCAAGGATTTAAATGCAGTTGTCTATAAAGGCAATATGGATTAGTTCTAATTTAACCAAAAATTAGAACTTTGATTTCAAATAATAGATACAATTTTATATATTGTACAATAAAAGTATAAAATTTTAGTGTCATATATTTTTTAATTTAGTATATTTGCCAAGTTATTTTTTATTTTTATTTTATAAATATATACCTTATTCTATTAATTATTCTATAAATATATAGAATTATGTAATAAATACATCTTAGAATTGCACGATTTTGGAACGTTGACTTGTATTGAATTCTGTGTCGTTGTAGGGTTATACTGTATTGTTTTTATGGATATTAAATAAATACTGAGCTCAAGGGTCTGTCCAGAGTAAATTCCCTACCGCTTAGCGGTACCTTCACAAATTCAACTTTAGGAAAAACGGCAGTTTCACAAATACAAAAGCAAGTTCTCATGCAAACCTGTGTTCTTGTTGCAATCTATGGAAAAGAAGAGCTTTCCTGCCAGATGTCTTTTACAAAACGGTAGCACGTGTTCAGTCAATGTGGGAAACCTAATCGGTCGTTTACGCATTATCAAAGCGAATTTTTTTCCCTCTGAGTTTTTTAAAATTAAATGCGAGGCTCTCCCTCTGTAAGCTTTACAGGAAGTCGAAATTCGAACATTATCATAAACACTATTGTAAATTTCTTTTAACTGACATTTCTAATATTTTTTTCTCTGCGAAACTTTTTTCTGTGTGACCCAGAGGAAAATGTTCCCATAATTAGAATAACTTTTAGTATTAGTACTGTTAAATGCATGTTTTTATTAAATTCAAGTTGAAATTTTACTATGGACAATGATTTTTTACAGGTTTATGCTTTTCGTAATTTAGATAAAATTTTTAGCCCAAAATTTTACAATACCAAAATTATTTTTGAGTATATAGAGAAAAATATATAGAAATAAGTCATAAATGATTTTTATTTGTAGTAACAATTTTTGAAAATATTTTCTTCCTTTACCATATTTTTGTGTTGATTTTTTAAATATAATTTTTTATTTACTGAGTCAATCTGCAGCACAAATTTTCACAAAATAGGTACCTCTTAAAGAAACCCAGACAGATCAATGATTTTGCTCTTTCATAAACGACACACCTATCCAAGAAAACAAATATAATTATCATTTCCACGTACACCCCTACTCAAAAAAAGACTTTTCGATATTTTTCATTAGAGTTACATTATTTTTAATTTAACTTTTGTAACTTAGTGATAATTTCATTCACCGCATGTTAGCTAGTTTAGAAAGTTGCATTTTGTTTTTAAGAACCATTTTAAATCAATTTTAAATACTTTCTTGCAAACTTTTATGAAATTTGTTTTATGCAATGTACTCCTTCATTTAAAAACTCTGATTGGTTATTACTTTTGTATTTTTGATTATGGCATTGCAGTGCAACTTATATACCTTACAGCAGAATTTACTGAGTCAATCTGCAGCACAATCTTCATGTTCTTATATTCAAAATTTCTATATCTTCATTTTCCCAAAATTAGGCATTGTCTAACATATATCAAGCAAAAAATGTATATTAGATAAAAAGTCATATTTTATGTAAATTTCAGAAATTCCGTAAATAAATAAATAAATAAAAAATTCTTGAATTTTTAAATTTTCATCATAGTTTTGTGTTTGCTGATTTTAATATTAGAAAAAAAAATCTGTTAACTTTAAGAAAATCTTCAAATATGCTCAGGAAATAACCCCTACTCTTACTGCAAATAATTTTGTAATATAAAATTGAAGCAATGCGAAAGTGCAAAGTATATAGAATTATCTGAAAATTTTATTTTACTAATGACTTCTTTATACTTAGTAGTATTCTGTCAATTCAGTTTTCTAAATTTAATGAGAAACTAACATAAGTTTAAGGATTTTTTTTTTTTAAATTGAAAATTATTCTATATCTTTAAAAAAGGAAAAAGAATCATTTCTCTATCTTTCAATCTTTATTTTCACCATTATTGATAATCATTTTCATTACTGTTGATTTAATGATTACTAACTTTTATTGATGTAAAATTTCATATATTAATAGCCAAGTGGGAAAGACGTTAGATGAGAAAGACCACTTTTGTTTTGGAGAGGAAGAGAGCGACCCAATTGATGCTAACAAGTCAGATGAAAATGTCAAGTTATTGCCTGATGAAGAGATTGTTAAAGAAGAATACGACTTTTGAACACAGATATTATTTGTTGTAAAATATTTATATAATGAAGATATTTATTACATTTTTGATTTCTTTTTTACTTGAATTAAAGTCACTTTCTATTAATGACTTGGTCTCAATTTAATTGCAAACTAGAGATTGTTTTTTTTTAATTGACTCTAATTGAAGTTTGCTTGTATGAGTGTTATGCAGTGTTCATTTTAATTGATTTTTCGAGTAAAAAAATACAGTATTTTCATCCCTTTTATTGTAAAAAGAAAAATACAAAAGTGATAATTTGTGTCTGGGTTTTAAAAAAAGGTTTTTATACCTTGGAGGTTGAGTTTTTTGGATTTTTTAAACTGGTTTTTGACAGTAATACTTGAAATTTTCTTCCAAAACTGTCTTAAAGCTCATAATACTATAAATAATCAAAATACTTCTAAAATGAAATACTTTCTGTTAATAAAAAAATAAATATTGTTTCATATTAACTTTAAATATTTGTTTATCAAGTAAAACAATGTTAAATTTTTAAGAATACATTTATAAATTATAAATGTACATTGATACAGATAAATATTACTATAAACACTGATAATCTAAACTTGACTAATACTAAACTTGAGAGCTTATAATAGTTTTACCAATCTATTATATGCTCTAACTAAACTATTATAAGGGAATATTACTAAAACTTGGAAGCTTGTAATAGTATTCTATAATAAAAAAATAGCAGTTAATTTTTACTGAGCAGTTACTTTTACTGGAAAAAAATCTCTACCGGCCTCCTGGAATGTCATGAAAAATCATAGAAAGTCATAGATTTCGGTATTAAACAAACTTTGTCATGATTTTAACTATTTCTTTTTTAAAAAAAACATGATTTAGGCTGCCGAAAAATCTAATTTTTAAAATGGAATTTTCACAGTGTAAATATCTGAATTTGTAACAAAATCCGCTCTCCCAGTCATATTTTATTAAAATATGAAATGTTTTTAACCCGTTCTTTAAAAATTATGGTTTTTTTCTAAAAATGAAAGAAAGAACATAATTTCTAGAGCAAATTAGCTTTTAAACTTTCGTGATTTCAAAATTTATTTATTTTTTTATCAATTTAAAGTTCTAGTTTAAGCTTTTTATATTACACTTTTAAGAAGAAATAAAACAGATTTAAATAACATATATCTGACTGTATTTAGTTATTTGCTTTTATATATTTTTTTTAGCCATTTCATTGCTGCAACTCTTTCTTTACTTTGTTTTTTAAGTTTAAAATCAATTAATAGGAAGATGCTGAGTATAACACTTTCGGTTATATCTATCATTTAAATTATTGTTATTGCAATGCTTTTTTTATTTATGGCTGTGTTTTTGTCGGAGAAAATTGTAACTTCAATTGTAAGTGTTTGTGATGTATTGATCTATTAACCAGTGGATTGTAACACACATAATAATTTATTTACAAGTTTGAAGATATAAAATTGATAAGGTCATTGTGAATTGGCAGGGAGATGCACCCTGTTCCAGAGTTGAATGGCAACTAAATAATATTGATTTGAGCACCGCCTCGTGACATAATTTCACAATTCTTAACCGTAAGTAACTAAAATTGTAAGTAATGAAAAATTCTTAGAATTATTCATGGAAAGTCATGGATTTGAAAATCTCAAATGTAGCAGGTACCCTGTATTTAAAAAATTAATCTCTATTTAATTTTTCTGCCTGTTATACAATTTGCCTTTGTTTTAACTGGAGAGAGTCCCGGTGGTGAAGCTGCAATCTCGTGCACAGATCCAGAGCTCTAGCTTCGGACCAGGCAAAGTTGACACAGCCTTTCATCCATTCAGTGGATCAATAAAATGGCAGAGAGAACACAGAAAACCTTACATTTTCTGGGAATTTTATTTTGACTCTAAAAATCAGGTAATTGTCAAGGAAAGTTGAATTGTCTAGAAAAATCCTTCAACAAACCTGGTAAATGATCAGTCTTCGAATTGTCAGTAACAGTTACCGAGATTCGAGTTAATTCTAGCATCTAGTAGGATTATTTTATGAAGTATGTCTATATTAAAAGTTGAATATATATCGACCTTAGAAGTGGAATTCTTTTTCTAGTGAAAGTTTTCTATTTTTCCATTCTCATTATATTATATGTTTTTTTGCTCACATTACAAGAAATTTGACAAGAATTCAAAGTTTTCTGATGAAAAATTTCATGGTATGATAAAATATGGTTTGGATTTCTATTGAAATTTACCTGATATACATGGAAAAGTTAGGAAATTTTTTTTTCAGAAATTGAGTGGGAAGCCTGCTGCAAGATAGGATTAATTATGTTCAGAAAATAGAAGGGAAAAAAAATCAAAAGATACGAATATGTTATCAAAATAATAAGTTTTTAATCATATCTTTTTTTTTCTCTTAAAAAGTTTTCAAGACTAGATCAGGTAACAGATTTGTTTCTGGTAAACCACATTTTATGTAATCTTTTGAGACAAATAATTCTGATATCTATTACAGTTATTTGTTGCAAAAGTTTCACAATTTAGCCAAACTTGCATTTTTTATTCCTCTTTCAATGATATTGTTTTGCTCACAAAATCTAGTATTTGACACTACAAATAAAAAGTAAAATCATTTCTGATGAAAAATTGCATGGTATAGATAAAATATGATCTGGATTTTCACTGAACTTTTTCTAGTTGTCATGGAATTTTCTTTCCTTCTGAAATTGAGTGGGGACCCTGAATAAGTGTCAAACATTAGGGATTTCCACACTTGGTTGACCACCCAACATTTGCTCTGGCACTCCAGAGCCTAGAGTCACAAAAACTTGGATGTGCACAGTAGGCTTTTTCCCTTCATAGGCTGCTGCACCACGTAGTGTAGAATTTTTAGAAAAAAAAACATGTTAAAATTAACTCTTTTTAATTCAAATATTTTGTAGTAAATATGATTTACAGGCATGTATCAACATTTGCTAATAGTTTAAATAAAATATTTTTAGTTTGGTTTTACATTACAAGTTACTGCTATCTTTTTTTCCTTTTCCGAATATTACTCTTAACTTGAAGGTAGAAAGAAAATAAATAAAGAATAAAACTAAATAAATAATGCAAAGAGATTTATTGGAAAAGTAGTATCAAGCATTGTTTTTCACTGCATTGTAGCTCAAGCAATAAAGCAAAGCATTCTTTCAACAGCCCATTGTATGCCAAGGGGGTGATAAGGGTTCGGGCTCCACAATTTCATGACAATCACAGATTTTTCGGACACTTTTCTTAAATATTTAAACTTCTGTTTTAACATTTGATTTCAAAAGATTTTGACCAACACTTAATGTGAATAGTTGCAATATATATGTTATAAAAAAAAAGAAATTGTTTTCCTAAAGACTGGTGGTTTTCAATAAGCCAAATTGAGTGGTGCAGAAAAAGACTTACATGATGTTCAGAGAATGATTGTCTTTTTTTTTACGACCACTTTTTGGGAGGCACTGACTTTTTTTCATAGATTTTGTGATGAAGAAAAAACCTTTTACGAGAGACCATTAAAACCTCAACCAGTGACCTGACAAACATCTGCATCAAATGCGAGAAAATATAAAAACAAAAAATTTAACAAAGCAAATTAAGTACATTAAAATGTATACAAAATATTTGTGCGAAGCTCTTACTTAAAGAGGTCTTTTTGACGATACTCATGTCAGAGTGCACTAAAAACGGTGCTGCCAATGATCTGATTCTAGAGTAGAAAGTTAAATTAGAAAAAAAAAAGTTATTTTAGAAAAAAACAAGCATCTCAAGTAAACCAACCTTTTCTTTCATTTTAAAGCTAACTAATTTTTATGATATAAAATTGAATGCACATTAAACATAAAAGGTAATTGTTTATTTATTTAAAATTAGTAAAATTGTCATTGAAAATTAGTAAATTTGTTTTTACACATAATTATATCAGTTAGGATCCTTTTTATAAACGCTAAATTGCACAATTTAAAATAAAATTAAATTAAATATTTTTACCAGACACAAATTATCTGTATTACAACAAATAAAAAAACATTTAATAAAAACTCAAAAATTAATGTTAAGCCTGAAAAATTTAAAAATCTAAAAATAGGTTATTATCTATATATATATATAAAACAGAAAGTGCAATGGGGCTATATACGAGCTCCGGTTCTGTGAAAATGATAATGGAGTTATTGTAAGTATGAATTTCATTACACAATTATTTTGCCTAATCATGTATATGAGGAGTGCAAGACAGTAGAAACTTCTCACGTGCTAAAGGAATGGAGTAAATTATGTGGTGTCAACGATGGGATTCGAACCCCTGTTTAGCTGGATTGACAGCTCACAGCTAAAGCATATACGCAGCTTCAAGAAGTTAAGTGACTTTATGAAACATTTACCTAGAGCCGTGATGGCTCGGGGGATAGAGAGTTCGCCTTTCTATGAGATGAACCGGGTTCGAATTCCAACGATGACTGGTTAATAAAAATTCCGCATCCGTCTTTCACCGACCACAGTGCTATCCTCAGTGATATATAACCTTTATTAAACGGCCGACCAAATTTTTGGGTTTACGACTACTATGTTCAACTACTTAGCCTTGTAATTTTGAACTCAATCCAGAAGACAAGGGAACGCTTGGATCAAGTATTGGGAGAAATTTGCCTCTGTGAAGGATTTGCAAATTTCTCCCAATACTTGATACAAGAGTTCCCTTGTCTTCTGGATTGGGTTCAAAGCTACGGAGTTGAACAATAGTAGTCGTAAACCTAAAAATTAGGTTGACTGTTCAATGAAGGTTATAAAATAAAATAAAATATTTTACGTAAACTTCCATCATTAATAGCGCAATTCTTTCATTTATCTGCTATCTATGCAATAGAATGTTTTTGCTTTAACATCTGACGGAACTTCTTATCCTTACAACATTGACAGTGTGCATTGATGTTTCTTAGTCGGATCCAATGGTATGTTACGGTGGATATTGTTTGATCTAGCATGTTTGCATACAGAGTTTGTTCGAGATGGATTTGAAAAAAAAAAATTATAAAACAATTTTACAATATATGACAAGTAACTATAAATTTTTAATAACATGAAACTTTTAACCATTCAATTCAACGCTGTAATTAAGTTGTGTTTACGTAAAAAAATTTAATAGAGATGAAAATTTATTTATGATCTTATTATTTAGTTTTCTTATAAAATGTAAAAAATGTTTTTTTCAAAAAAAAAAA